GATGAAGATAAAGAATTCAAAGAGTGTGAAGAAAAGAAAAGACAACGGGAGATGAAAACAGACAGAGCTAAACACGTGCAGAGAAGCCTCTGCTGCCCACCAACCTGAAGAACACCCCGTTGCTTCTCTGGCCCTCTCCACCCCGTTCCTGTGGGTCACTACGCTTCCGAGATGTCCTGCTGGCTTCAGCTCTACCCCACTAGGACACAAGCTGTGTCAGAGCAATTAGGCTGCCTGTCTGGCCCCATCTATATCTTCAGTGCCTAGAACAGCTCTGCTATATGGAAGACACTTGCTGAGTAAATAAATAGAAAAAGTAGAAAGGAAAAAGAGAAGAGATTTTCAAAGCAATTAAAGATGGCAGATGAGAAGAGAGTAACAATTATTCAACATAGAGGTAACTGGTATCTAAGACAGAGAAGCCAAAAAATAGAACATAAATAAATTTAAAGACTTAACAGGAGACAATTTTCCTGACTCAAAGCAAAACCTGTGCCTGTCTATTAGAGGGAAATGGATTTTCCAGAAAAATCAACATGGAAAGCTAATAAACACAAAGACATTCTGGTTATGGTGTTTTAGAACTTCAAAAAATTTTTTTAAAAATTTCTTCATCCAGGAAAAAAATGATCCACTCACTGACATGGAGGTTAAGTAAACCTGGCCTCATATTTCTCTGCAATATTCAGTGTAAGAAAACAATGAAGCAGTGTGTTTAAGAGCTAAGAGAAAGCTGTAAGCCAAGAATATGAACCCAGCCAAGTCGTAATTCAAGAATAAAGTCAATAGGCTCCTATTCTCAAACATGACAGAGCCAAAGGAAAATAATACCACCGAGGTTCTGGAAAGAACTACCCAACAATGAAACCTAGACAACCAGCAGATAAAAGGAGAAGCTGCAATAAAAGGACTGAATCAGTGTGTTTAAAAATAGATCAAAGACTCAACAGCTAGTAAGAAATATCTTTTCAAAAGGTAATTGTTTCAAACCCTGACAACAAAAATGATACTGGAATAAACAAAACTCAGGCTACAGAAAACGGAGAAACAGAGGAGGGAATAAGAAAGTACTTCATTCCCTTTCTAAACAGAACCTGTGAGTCAATAACAAGTTTCAGTACTTGACTCATATAACTAAAATAAGACTAACCACAAAAATCCAAAGGTGGAAGCGGGGAGAAGTGGGAGATGGCATGAGTGGTAACTTCAGGAGCCTTCATAGCAGGAGAACAACAGATATTAAATATATTTCCTAATTCATGAAAGAGGATATGATACAAACATATAAAGTAACAGAAATAACTATTAGAAAAACTGGACAAAAACCCTCCCAAATCCCCAAAAGCAAAGTATTTATGTATGTGCATACACAAAGGAAAAGAGAACCTATACAGCAAAATGGAATGAGGAAATAGGAAAAAAACATAATGAAGGCCAAAACACACCTGCTATCAACAAATGTTAAGTGAGATAAACTGAGCTATTAAAGAACAAGACTCACACTTTGACTCAAATTACAGATATTTTCCAAAGTTGGTAATAACTGTATCTCCTATTCCACATGTGCTCCTACAACCTTCTTAGACCCCCTGTAGAGTTTACATCCCATTCCCTTGAACGTGGATAGGTGGCAAAAGTGATGCTATGACTTCTGAGACCAGGTTGTTGTCATAAGCTGAACTGTGTCCTTCCCAGAATGTTTAAGTCCTCAGTGCCTCCAAATTTGACTGTATTTGGAGATGGGGTCTTTAAAGAGTAATTAAGGTAATGAGGTCACGAGGGTGCACCCTGATCCATTACGACTGGTAGCCTTATAAGAGGAGATCAAGAGATGGACAACACAGAGGCAAGGCCATGCGAAGACACAGGAAAAAGAAGACCATCCACAAGCCCAGGAGCCTACACTGCCGACACACTGATCTGGGACTTTCAGTCTGCAGAACTGTGAGAAAATCAAGTTCTGTTTTTTAAGTCCTCCAGTCATTGGTATTTTCTGTGGCAGCCATAGCAGACTCATACAGTTGTAAAAGGCAATTCAGCTTCCAAGTGAAATTCTCCTAGATATGAGCAAGCTGTCTAACTGTCAGGAGGCCACCATGCTGTGAGGAAGCCCACATTACCCACGTGCAGGGACCAGGTAGAGTCCACAGGACCTCATGAAGAGGAGATGCCTTCCCAGTCCCCAGCTACTCCAGTCACTGCCTGCCTGAAACTACGTAAGATTCCAAGTACCTCAACATAATAAAGACCCTTTATGACAAACCCATAGCCAACATCATACTTAACAGTGAAAAGCTAAAAACTTTTCCTCTAAGATCAGGAACAAGACAAGGATGCCTACTCTCCCATCTTTTATTCAACATAGTACTGGTGGTCTTCACCACAGCAGACAACATAAAGAAATAAAAGGCATCCAGATTGGTAAGGAACAAGTTACTGCCACCGTTTGCAGATGACATGATAGTGTACATAAAAAAAACTAAAGAATCCAGCCCAAAACTACTAGGACTAATAACTGAATTTAACAAAGTTACAGGATACAAAGTTAATACACAGAAATCTGTTGCATTCCTATATACTAACAAACTAGCAGAAAGAGAAATCAGGAAAACAATTCCATTCACAACTGCATCAAAAAGAATAAAATACCTAGGAATAAACCTACCCAAGATAAAAGACCTATACCCTGAAAACTACAAGACACTCCTAAGAGAAATTAAAGAAGACACTAATAAATGGAAATGTAACCCATGCTCTCGGGTAGGATGAATATTATCAAAATGGCCATCCTGCCTAAAGCAATCTACAGATTCAATGCAATACCCATCAAAATACCAAAAGCATCCTTCAACAAACCAGAACAAATAGTTCTAAAATTCATACGGAACTACAAAAGACCCCAAATAGCCAAAGCAATCCTGAGAAGGAAGAGTAAAGCTGGGGCAATTAGGCTCCCCAACATCAAGCTCTACTACAAAGCCACAGTAATCAAGATATTTTGATATTGGCATAAGAACAGACTGGCACTGGAACAGAACCAAGAGCCCAGATATAAACCCACACATATTTGGCCAATTAATATGCAATAAAGGAGTTATGGATGTACAATGGGAAAGTGACAGCCTCTTTAACAACTAGTGTTAGCAAAACTAGATAGCTACATGTAAGAGAATGAAACTGGATTACTGTCTAACCCCATACACAAAAGTAAACTTGAAATGGATCAAAGACCTGAATGTAAGTCATGAAACCATAAAACTCTTAGAAGAAAACATAGGCAAAAATCTCTTCAATATAAACATGAGCAACTTTTTCCTGAACACATCACCTTGGGCAAGGGAAACAAAAGCAAAAATGAACAAATGGGATTACATCAAACTAAAAAGCTTCTGTACAGCAAAGGACACTATCAGCAGAACAAAAAGGCATCCCACAGTATGGGAGAATATATTTGTAAACAACATATCTGATAAGGGGTTAACATTCAAAATACATAAAGAGCTCACAGGCCTCAACACCCAAAAAGTAAATAACCTGATTAAAAAATGGGCGGAGGATCTTAACAGACACTTCTCCAAAGAAATTCAGATGGCCAAGAGGCACATGAAAAGATGCTCCACATCACTAATTATCAGGGAAATGCAAATTAAAACCACAATGAGATATCACCTTACACCAGTTAGGATGGCCAACATCCAAAAAATAAGGAACAGCAAATGCTGACGAAGATGTGGAGAAAGGGAAAACCTCCTACACTGTTGGTGGGAATGTAAATTAGTTCAACCATTGTGGAAAGCAGTATGGAGGTTCCTCAAAATGCTCAAAACAGAAATACCATTTGACCCAGGAATTCCACTTCTAGGAATTTACCCAAAGAAAACAAAACCCCAGAGACAAAAAGACATATGTACCCCTATATTTATCACAGCACTCTTTACAATAGCCAAGATGTGGAAGCAACCTAAGTGTCCATCAATAGATGAATGGATAAAGAAGATGTGATACATCTACACATGCAATATTATTCAGCCATAGAAGAAAACAAATCCTACGATTTACAACAACATGGATGCAGCTAGAGGATATGCTCAGTGAAATAAGCCAGGTGGAGAAATACAGGGACCAAGCAATTTCACTCATTTGTATAATATGAAAACAAAGCAAAACTGAAGAGAACGAAATAGCAGTGAACTTGGAGACATTGAGAAGGGACCAGCAGTTACCAAAGGGAAGAGGATGGGGAGGGTAGATGAGGAGGAAGGGAGAAGGGGATTAAGGGGCATATGATCAGCACATGTAATGTAGAGGGGTCATGGGGAAGGCAGTACAGCATGGAGAAGACAAGCAGCGACTCACTCTACAGCCTCTTACTATGCTGATGGACAGTAACTGCAATGGGGTCGGTGGGGGGGCTTGATAATATGGGTGAATGTTGCAGCCACAATGTTGTTCATATGAAACCTTCATAAGATTGTATATCAATGATACCTTAATTTAAAAAAAAAAGATTCCAAGTCCCAACTTCCCAGACAAGCCCTTTCAAGTCCCTGAACAGAGAACTGTGAGGGAATAAAATGACCATTTTTTTATGCAACTACGTTTTGGGAAGATTCATGATACATGCAACAACCAACCAGAACAGACTCCCAAGAAATTTTTCAGGAAAAAATTTCAGTCCCAAACTAAGCTAAATATGCTAGTTTGGAGTTCATGGAACAACTCCATCCAACAAGACAATGTGATAAACATGGCAATCTCTGTACAAGGCGAGGTAAATTAAAATTCTGTGAGGGGCTTGGAGACCTGGTCAAATGGGGTCTTTAAGAGGATTCTGCTCTCTGTTCTTAGGGAAAAGCAGAGCTGGAGAGAGGACTTGGGAGACATGACAAAGCTGCCTGTACAAAATGGGCCCCTTGTGTGAACATAGGCAGTAGGTCCCCAGTGTGAACACCCACCGGGCACCCTAACAACTTCCTCACCAGCTCCACACTGATACTCACCAACCACTTCACTCTGAAGGAGAAGAGTGCACTGAAGGCAAACACCACCCACAGCACAGGGCAGGCAATCAGTCCTAACCAAAAGATTCTTGATTCAGCCTCTGAAACACTTTTACTCTCTTGGGAGGTTGCCTACAAAAGAACACGAACTTAATCACCAATACTGTGTATTTATCAGTAAAAAGTATAACATTTTTAATGAAAACACCTTAACTTCAAATTAAAATAAATTAATACAGACAACCCAAGTCCCGAGTTAGAACCCCAAAAAGAACAGTGAGTAGATCTAACACTGTTTAACTCAAGAGTCTTGCAGATGACCCAAAACAGTAAGGGCGGTCTCCAACAGGCTTCTATTTAATCCATATTACACGCCCACTGTATCTTCGTAAGAAAGCTTTGGATCCTACCTTACTAGGTGAGGACCCAGGGAATTAAGGCTATGGTCATCCTGGAGACTAAAAGGTCAAGTCAGGGTCCAGAGCCAGAAATGGAATCAAGGGATGCTGGACAATGACCACAATGTCTTAGTTAATACCCAGGAATTTCGAAGGGTGGTAAGCTGTTTCCAAGGTAGATTTGGTAATATAAAGGACTATGGGCTCACTGAGCACAATGCTGCTCTCTGAGAAGTACTTCCAGGCAGAAGGCAAACAATTTAACTAGCACTGTATCCAAAACTTTAGTCCTCTGACTCACAACACGATATCCACAGGGAAACTGAATGTTCACTGTACGTAACCAGGCTAACGCAAAATGGACCAGGGTCCCCTAGGGCTCCTGAAGGAACAGGCTGCTCTGATCAATCGGGGTTTCTGTCTAGCCACAATCCTCTTCTTTCTTTTTCCTGACACAAGTGGAAAGGACACTGGAAGCAAGGACAGAACAAGCTGTTGGAAAGCAGTTATCTGCTGGACATGGAGATATCCCAGGAGACACATGGTGAGGAATGCAAAGCTGTGGGTCCTCACAGAAACAGCCTTTATTGGCAGCCCCGACGGACAGCTTCACACGCTGAATAACTCTGACCCCAAGCCCTCTCTCAGAGGGTTCTTTCCTGCCCACACCTTGCTTCCTCTCTGAACTAGACAGAAAATGCAGTGAGTTTCAGAAGGCCATCTGGCTCAGTGCTGACATGCTGAGGGATCTGGGGACATACAGGGATGTACTTTTATTCTCCAGTACTTCACACTTAATTATTCAAATGTAATCTACACATAATTTATTGAATGATACTGTTTAGAGGGCAGGTTACCTTTCTGGCTTCAAACACCCAATGGCTTTTTCCATCTTCATCAATATGATTCCACCAGCGCAGGCCAACCATTAGCCTACCTGTGACATTCTGGAAAAGGTTAATATACATATGCACACTTTTAAAAGCACTGTTTAAACACCCACCATAAGGTTATAGCTGAGGGTAACAGTCCACAAACAAAACATCTTCAGCTTCACCTCCATAATATCCAGTTAACAAAGCCCACAACACACCAGGGCTGCAGAAAAGATCGAATGGCCACAGCAGGACTAGCAGGGAGGAGGTGACAGGGGACGCAGACCCACACACTTTCCCCTTTTCCCTTATGAACTCTCATCCTTTCTCCAATCCCCTGATGTGTTCTGAAGCCCCTTTCTCTTTAGCTACCGGGAACTACTTTTTCCTATGTCTCCTGAGTCAAGAGCACTAGCATGCTTCTTTCTGCTCTCTGCTATGGGAAGATACAATGAGAAATCGGCAGTCTGGAACCTGGAAGAGGACCCTCACCAGAAGCTGGCCATGCTGGTGTGCTGATCTTGGACTTCCAGCCTCCAGAACTAGAGAAATAAACTCCTGTTGTTTCCAAGCCACCCAGTCTAGGATATTGATACAGCAGACTGGCTGAGGCAATGGTTATAGGCACCAGCCTTCATTTAGTACTTCAGATGCACCAAGATCTTTTCCTCTTGCTAATATATTACTAACAGTTTGCCTAATGTTTGCTTACTCAACAAATATTTACTGAGTACCTACTGACAACAAAATGTGCTGGTAACAAAATGGTCACTAACAGATACCATCCCTTTCCTCATCAACTTCAAGAATTGTGGGAAAGAGAGGCAGTCAACCAACGTACAAATGTGCCGTTACCAACTGTGGTGCTGTGAGGGAGAAGAGGGGTTGGGGGGGCACCTTAGGAGTTTAACAGGGAAATGTGATCTAGTCTGGAAGTAAGGATGTCTCCCTAAGGAATCAACATCTGGGGTGAAATTCAAAGGATACAAAGGAAATCAGTAATGCAGGGGATTTAAAATTTAGTGGTGTCCATTAATAGACTTGGTGGTTCTCTAAACTTGGATGGGGAAAAATACTACATCTTTATTTTCACTAACTTCTGGCTGAAGTTAGTTTACCTTTAAGTTATGAGTATAGACAATAAATGACATCACTATCAACAGTCCCTGGGACTCTGTCACAATAAAAACCACAGGTATTTTTCATGCTGTACTATGTGTTGCAAATATCACAAAACACCATTCATGTTCATCGCTTTCAAAGTAGTTAGAACTGCTACTAGATCTTGCTTTTTAATGCATTAACAAAGAGGCACATACTATTGAATCAGAAATGTCTGTTTAATGTGCTTTCATTGTATTTCAAAGTAAGTGACTTCCTCTGTAATCTTATGTATTTCCTTTTATGTATTTAAAAGCATTATGCATAGTTTAAGACTGTGAAAGGAGTCCATGGCACAAAAAAGATTAGAAGTCCCTGTGCTAAGGCGATGTGGGAGTGAGAAGAGCATTTTCCATGTACAAAACAGGCACAGAGCCCTAAGAAAGGAAGTAAAATCTATGGACTTATGGGAGTTTGTGATTAACTGGATAAGGGGTAGGAAGAAGGCAATTCATACATTTCCAGTTTGCTCAAGTCAAAAAGTAGTGATTCCAGGCTCTGCGGAGGGGAACATTGATGAAAGAGAAGCATCTGGGGCTGGAAGATGCCAAGAGTTATTACACAGGTTGAATCCGACATGCCTTCACGACAGTCAAGTAAAATGTCAGGAAGACTGACAGATGGACAGTCTGGGGCTGCGAGAACAAACCTGGACGGGAGATAGAGACCTAGGAGCCAACGGCTTATGGAAAGCAACTGAGACCGGCAGCTTAGGGATGGAATACAGAAGGGGAAGGAAGGGAGGAGCTTTGCAGACCAACACCCAAAGCGCAGAGGTGCTCACACTGAAAGGCGAAGTGAAAGAGAAGCCCTGGCCAGGAAGACAGGGCTGTTTTATTGCCGTCTTCAAATAACAGCTCTTGGAATATTTTCAAACTCCTCCATTTTCTCATTTCCAACTCTTCACTTTCTGCTTTTCTCTTGTTTTCCTCATTTCTCTCAGACTTACTGTTTTTGAGCTTCTGTACCTCTGTCTAATAAAAGCCTTCAGTCTATTGTTTTTCCCTAAATTCAGCTTAGACACATTTCAAAAGTTTCAATGTAGATGATCTGATCATTATCATTAAGATATAAATAATTTATATTTACAGTTTCTGTTTCCCTTTTAAGCCCAGATATTTATATTATGCAGCATGGTTTTTCTTTTTTATTCCAATTTTGACAACCATTTTTTTTTTATCAATTTCCAATTTTGTCACATTGGACTAGAAAATGCGGTGCTTTGGCCAATTCACTTGGATATTCTTCACAGTGGCATCTAATTAACTGGTGTAAATGCTCTGCAAGAACTGAAGAAGGCATTATCTCTGTACGTACAAAGTACCAAATGCTGCTATTAAGGTGAACCTGTTAATTCATTCAGATCCTTCAGAACTTCATAATCTTTTGTCACTTTATCAAGGACAAGTCATTTGTCAGACTCCCAACATAATGAATGATGTTTCTTCCATCTTCTCCTCATGTTTCTTGTAACTTTTCACTATGCATAGTTTAATGTAATGTCATTCTGTGAATGATGCTCACTGTGACTCATAAAATGACCTTTTTCATTCCACTGAATGCTGTCTTTACCTTTGTTTGTTTGGTCTGGTAGTAACATTAATGCCAGGGTTCTTTTTGTTTGAATTGGCCTGATGTTATCTTTGCCTTCTTTACCTTTTTCTAAAATCATGATTTTAGTTAGCTCTTTTTGGTTGGACTTTTGATTTCTAACCCAATCTTAGAATTCTTATCTTTAAAAAGAGAGCCAATCAAATTACATTTACTGTTATAACTAACTGCCTCCACTGCCATCACCTTGCACTACACCCTGTGATTCTTAAGCCTCCGTGACACTGACTAGGTTTCCTTCTCTTGCTCTATGAATTATGTTGGAGTTGCTCCTACTTTCTCCAGTGTTGGGGAAGATACACAATTTGTTTTAAATTTTACTAAGTTACCATTTATATTTTTAAACTTTTATTTAACTTTTTTTACTCTATTTGTCAGAGTAAGAAATAAAACTAAAGTCATATATAAACTATAACATCTAAATTGTTTTACAGTAATTTTATCTTTTTATTTTTTAATTATCTCTTCTCTTGACAACTGCATTGAAATTTATAATAATTATGACACATCTCTGTTCTAACTAGGTTTAGAACCCTTTCCCAAGTCTATTTATATTCACTTGGATATTCTTCACAGTGGCATCTAATTAACTGGTGTAAATGCTCTGCAAGAACTGAAGAAGGCATTATCTCTGTACGTACAAAGTACCAAATGCTGCTATTAAGGTGAACCTGTTAATTCATTCAGATCCTTCAGAACTTCATAATCTTTTGTCACTTTATCAAGGACAAGTCATTTGTCAGACTCCCAACATAATGAATGATGTTTCTTCCATCTTCTCCTCATGTTTCTTGTAACTTTTCACTATGCATAGTTTAATGTAATGTCATTCTGTGAATGATGCTCACTGTGACTCATAAAATGACCTTTTTCATTCCACTGAATGCTGTCTTTACCTTTGTTTGTTTGGTCTGGTAGTAACATTAATGCCAGGGTTCTTTTTGTTTGAATTGGCCTGATGTTATCTTTGCCTTCTTTACCTTTTTCTAAAATCATGATTTTAGTTAGCTCTTTTTGGTTGGACTTTTGATTTCTAACCCAATCTTAGAATTCTTATCTTTAAAAAGAGAGCCAATCAAATTACATTTACTGTTATAACTAACTGCCTCCACTGCCATCACCTTGCACTACACCCTGTGATTCTTAAGCCTCCGTGACACTGACTAGGTTTCCTTCTCTTGCTCTATGAATTATGTTGGAGTTGCTCCTACTTTCTCCAGTGTTGGGGAAGATACACAATTTGTTTTAAATTTTACTAAGTTACCATTTATATTTTTAAACTTTTATTTAACTTTTTTTACTCTATTTGTCAGAGTAAGAAATAAAACTAAAGTCATATATAAACTATAACATTTAAATTGTTTTACAGTAATTTTATCTTTTTATTTTTTAATTATCTCTTCTCTTGACAACTGCATTGAAATTTATAATAATTATGACACATCTCTGTTCTAACTAGGTTTAGAACCCTTTCCCAAGTCTATTTAATAATTTTCCCATTCCTGACCTATTTTCCTTCATATCTCAGTTGTTTGGATATCTATAAATAATTTTGCCACAAATAAAAGGGTGACATATTTTAAGCCCTTGTTTAAAAAAAAAGCTTATCAGAAGATGTACCTTTGGCCACATTTTTTTAAATTCCTAAACCTAGAAGGATTTAGTTATTTAATTATGAGAGTTTGAAAATTACCAGTTTGAAAATGACTGAAAGCTGTGTTATACTTGGCTAAAGAGAAATTAAAATGCACAAAAAAAAGAAACGTCCTCAAAACAAAATTGTGATCAGGATACATTTAGAGCATAAAGCATCAGAAGAAATTCAAAGAAACAGAAGCCAACGAACACTGTACAAGGAGAAAGCATACAGAAAACAGACCTCTGTTATGTTCATCCTCAGCTTTTTGTGGCCTATAGAATGCCACCAAGCCAACCACTTCTCTCTAAAAGAATCAAAAGACCTAAAACTGGCTAGGTTCTTGGGCATGCATAGATTTGTAACATCTTACTGGTCTTTGAATCAGTATACATGCCTGAAAAATCACAGAATTAGCTTTTGCTCTTTTTCTCCCCTTTCATTTACTTTCATTATAATAAGAAAATTTCCAAATGCACAGAAAAGTCAAGTTTTACAGTGACCACCCACATACCTACCACCTCGAGCTTACACTTAGTATCTGACTGGAGTTACTTTATCACATGTCCTCTCTCTGGGTACTCATTTCTTCATCCCTCCATCTCTCTACCCATCACTGCCTTTGGGTCTGAAAACATTTCTCACTCCTCTCTACACCCTTTGACAGGGTTTCTCAACCTCCTCACTACAGACATTTGGGGCCAGACAATTCTTGGTTGAGGGTGCATCTGAAGATGTTTAGCTGCATCCCTGGCCTCTGCCCACTAGATGGCAGCAGCACACTTTCCCCTCCCTCAGCTGTGAAAACCAAAAATGTCTTCATTGACAAGTGGGCCCTGTGGGGTAAAACTGGTCCTAGCTGAGAAACACCGGCCCTAGAGCACACACAGTAGCCTGTGCAAATGGAGGGTACTCTTAAGTATTGGTGGACAAACTATCATAGGTCTTATCAAGAATCACACACCAGCATGCCAAGTGACCCTGAAGTAAAAGCAGTGGCATGAATTACGCAAACTGTATAGGATCTGTGGCCTTTGCCCTGTGTTATTTGTCTGTCTGTCTATTTAATTTTAAAGCTGATGTACATAGACACAAGGCACAGCCAAGTCAGTCAGTAATAACCTACAGATATGATATACTTGGCACTTTAACTTCAGACAGATGAGGCCTGAAGTAGCAAAAAGACAAATTAACACCAATTAAATGCTATCTTTCTTTTTTTTTTACTATTTATACATCATTCAATCTCATATTTAATACAATTTTAGAATAAAAACAATCAAACCTACCTTGACTGCCCAAAAGTCACATGACAACAACAAGATAATTGTCACCATACAGGCAATAAAGCTGCTGCTGAACAATTCACAGAGAAGATAGACTACAATTGCACTGACTCGAAAGAATAAATGGAAAAATGATGCCACTGGGTGTCTGAAAACCAAAACATAATAAAAGAAATGCAATTACATTTTACTACAGGTACTGCAGATGTGGATGAAAAATGTTTCAGCCACAGCATGACCATGCAGTTTTCTCAAAATAACAGAGATGACTTGAAGAAGCAAACTGCCTACGTCTGCTTTTTCTTAAGTCCCATTATTTGACTAAGCCCTGTTGTTACAGAAAATGCACTATGAAAACATGACTTTAACACCTCATTGAACATAATCTTTCACAAGATACATACCAAGATATTTTACCCCACTTGGAGGAATAAGGAAACAATACTCATAGGATTGAGTCCTACTGTCACATGACTGAAAACTGTCACATGCCGAAAGAATTCATAGGTCCCGAGAAATCACCTCGGGCATTAAAACAAAGTAATCATCAAATAGGGTTTGTTGGGTTTTTTTAAACAACTTTATTGAGATATAACCAAAATACCATACAATTCACTTATTTAAAATGTATAATTCAATGGGTTTTTGGTGTATTCACAGACCAGTGCAACAGTCATCACCACAATCAATTTTAGGACCCTTTCATTACCCAAAAGGAAACCCTCTACCCATTGGCAGTCACTGCCCATTTACCCCACCCCACCCCTCACCAGCCGTAGGCAACCACTAATGTACTTGTAATCTCTAGGATTTGCCTATTCTGGACAAACACATAAATGAAATCTTGTAATATGTGGTCTTCGTGACCGACATCTCTCCCTTAGCATAATGTTTTCAACATTCAGGTAGAATTTGGTTAAGTGAATTTGTTTAAAACTAAATTTGGAAGAGAAAAATGTTTGGTTTGATATTTTCATGTTATTTTACACAAAATATGGAATTCTGAAATTTGTACAATAAATCGAAATGTATTTACAGAAACTATCTAAAGAAATGGTATATTCTTGGTAAACAGTAGCTGAAATTAAAAACACTATTGTTCACATAATGGGATTTGCTTGCCGAATCAAATTCCACTTGCCAGTTAGTCCGAAAGAAAATCTGCAATGTCACCTTTGTCTCAGACTGAAGCTCAAACTAGTGACATACAATATTCACAAGTACATTTCCACCACTCTGCCTTGAATCGAATTGGTGGCACCCAGCTACAGACCGAACAGCACTGAAAACAAACACAAATCTCTTTTACTTTATTTTATCCTCATACCTGATCTTGGATTTTTTGGGTCTGTTAGTTGTCTCCTCTTCCGCATCAAACAGTGAAACATCTTCTGTGTCATCATTACTGTCCTATAGAAAAATACCCATGAGGCAAAACGAAAGTCAGTTATCTGCATGCCTACTTCATACAAGACGGCATACTAATTGGGATGGAAGACAAATTCAGTCAGGCACAACCCTCTGGGATTCACCACCTAGGGAAATGGCACGCACAGTTCTCTCACCCCCACCCAGTTATCTGGCCAGGTTGCTGAGGCCTGTGAGAAAACCATTGCGTGCAGACGATGGACCTGCAGCCTCCATGTCTGGTCCCCGCTGCTCTCACAAGTCACAGGGAGAGCTGGCCCGGAATGACACCACACAGGACACCACGCTTTTGGCTCCTTCAAAAAATCATCTGCCTGCATCCTTGTTCCCAAGCCCTTCTCCTGACTTTTTTTCTCCAACGCTGAACCTAGTGTGCCTGGAATCCCTTCTTTTCCTGCCTTCTCAAGGGCTTTATTCCATCAACTTTCCCTTTTTTATTTACACTTTTTTGGATCTTCAAGTCTTTCTATTCTAAACTTCTTCAGGTGTAATTTGTTGCTGAGAAAAAAAAAATTTAAACCCTGATTCAGAACCTCCCCTTCTAGCTGCCACTTTCCATCCCCAGCATTCCTTCAACAACCTCAAGCTTAGATCACACCTCAGCCCACTGCCCACAGCCTCAAGCACAGCAAACCTGCTCTTCCTTTCTAGTGCCAGCCATTCTCCACTCACCGCCTTCATCTCTAGCCTCACCCCTGCTCTCCTCCAGCCCCTCACTGCCCACAGAAGAACCTTCCTAACATAGAAATCAGAGCAGGCAACTCACCACCTCCTATCTGTCTGCAGTGCCCCAACCTGTACAAGATAAAATCTAATCCTTTCACATAGAGCAGATTCCACAGCAACACTGTTACTACATGTTCTCTGAAAACACCAGGGTCTCTCCCATCTTTCTGCCATTCACATTTGCTCTACCCAGAGGCTCTTCCCTTCTCCATCCCCTACACAGCTCACCACCAGGAAAACACCAAATCACTTTTCAAACTTCAACTCAAATACTCCATCAGCTGAGAAACTCCCTGAAACCCACAGGCAGAGTTTCCCACGTTCCCCCAGCACTAGGACACATCTCCACGTGAACCACTGTCTCAGGGTATTCTGGCTGCAAGGCCACTCCTACTTCTACCTAGACCCTAAGCAACTGGAAGGCAAACCCGTGCACTGCACTGTAATAAACCCTAGTGGCTAGCAGAGCACCTGCCAGGCCACACAGTACTTGCTGAATGTGTGATGCTGAACGCGTGAGTGAATAAACAAAGGAGACAATTACCTATGACACACACAGACTGTGACCAGTGCCAGGAGAAAAATACAAGTAATGGGAGCACCAGGAAGCAAGAGAATCATTTCTACTGCTGGCTCTGGAGTAGCTTCCTGGAGTTTATGTCCTGGGACTTGCCAGAGAAAGTAGGCCTCCTGCTCACTCCAGTCCCTTGACCAGATATATTTTCAAGGGTACAGAGTGGAATACACCAATTATGCACAGAGAATGGCCAGAGAATCCCAGAGTAAGTGGAGCAAAAAGTGGAGTAGGAGCTCAAGCTAGAAAGGTAAGTGGATTCAGATCTATGGGACCAGTGGTGTTGGGATCTTGGCTACAGGCTGGTATTACTGGGGTGCTTTAAAAAACAAAAAAAAAACCTAATACATGGGTCCCATCTGAGATTCAAATGCAATTGGTCTGGGGTGTTGTGTGGTCTGAGTAGCTGGATTTTTTAAAGCTCCCCAGATGATGACAATGTGCAGCCCAGACTGAGATCCACTGTATATTATGGAGTAGCTGAGGCCTTCCACTCATGGCTCCAACAGACGAATCTCCATCCAGCAGCGAGGGCAACCCTTCACTTCGGATCCTATCATTCCCCAACTTAAAACCCAGAGGACCTGACTGAAAAACAGACTCCTTATCAGGACCTACCAGGATCTAGCTCCTGCCCCTCTAAGACCTTATCTCAGTCCACTTCCCTTTATTAACGGTGGTAACATAATGCTTCCTCTCTCTTCAGCCAAGAACTTCCAGGCTCTAATCCTTGGGATGGGTGAATATGTAAATTTAATAGGCAAAAAGAACTTTGCAAATGTGATTAAGGATCCTGAGATGGAGAGTACTATCCTGGGTTACCCAGGTGGACCCAATGATTAATTACCACGGTCCTTGTAAGAGGAACACACGAAGATCAGAGTCAGAGGGTGATTGAGACAAGGAAAGCAGAGGGTGGAGAGACTGGAGATGCTATGCTGCTGACTATGGAGACGGGGGAGGGACCACCAGCCAAAGATGGCAGGCACCTCTAGAAGCTGGAAAAGGTGAAGACCAATCTTACATTCTCCCCTAGAATGTCCATAAGGAACACAGCCCAGTCAACACCTTGATTTTGGCCAAATATCACTCATTCTGGACTTCTGACCACCAGAACTTTAATACATTTGTATTATGTCACTAGGTTTATGGTAATTTGCAACAGCAGCAAGAGGAAAGCTATACAGCAACTAAGCCCCTGCCAGAATAGCCTTCTTGTTCCTTAAACATCCAAACTAGTTCTTTTACCTTTGTGCTTCATTCCATCTAGAACATTCTTTCCTCTCATCTGTTCTTTGAAAGATTGGCTTATTCTTATTCATTTAATACTGAGTGCCTACTATGTGTCAGGCCTGACACCCAGAAAACAGAAAAAAGGCAAAGAGCCTGCACTCTTAGAGTTGTATTTAAGATGGGGAAGGCTATGGGCACAACAGATTTCAGAGTGGTTTTGGACCATTTAAGATCAAAATGCAAGGATTAAGAACTTTTTTAATTGAGAGGGGGAACCATTAGTATATTCTGGGCATAGAACTAAGATTCTGATTTAGATGTTAAAATGAAACTTCTGGCTATTTTATTAAGAACATTGGAGGAAGGGGTAAAAAAGAAAGGCACAAAGCTGGGAGACTGGTTAGAAAGCTAACCCAATAACAGAGCCAAGAAGTAATGATTTGGTGTAGGGTGGAGGTGGTGAAAAGTAGCCAAATTCCAAACACATTTTAAGGTAAAACTGGCAGGACTGTGATGGGTTGAATGTGGCAGTAAGTGAAAAGGAGTCAAGGGCAATTTCCAAGCTTTTGTCCTGAGCAGATAAAAGGAGGAAGGTGCCAAAGGAAGATTCTGGGAACACCCATATTTAGAGATCAGAAAGCTGAGAAGAAATAAACAATGGGGGCTGAAAAGAAAGTGCTAAGGGTAGGAGCTGAACCCAGAGGAGTGTAGAATCCTGGAAATCAGGTGAATTGTTTCCAGAAGACCAGATCAGCTGTCAAATGCTGCTCACAAGACGAAAACCAAAAACTGGCCAATGTATTTCTAACAGATTATCAGGGACCTCAGTAAGAGCAGCGTTGGTATGGCAGGGGGGAAGGGGAGACAGCAGACTAGAATGGGTAGGAGAGAGAATAGAATTGAAACAAGTATAGACAAATCTTTTAAGGAGCAAAGAATGGAGTGGCAGATGAAAGGGCATGTGGAATTTTTACTTTTTAAGAAAGGAAAAATTAAAGCATGTTTATATGTGAACAAGCTTCTAAAAGAAAAAAAAATTTGACAATAGAGAGAAGAGAGAAGAGTTTGTGGAGCACTGACTTCCAGGAGGCAAGAGGGGATGGAAAGCAGGGCACAAGTCAAGGGGATAGTCTGCAGAGGAGCACAGACAGCTCAGTTCCAAGGAAGAGGATACGGGAAATGGTGAGCAAAGATGCAGATAGCAGGTGGTGAGAAAATTCTGATGACTTCCGTTTTCTCAGTGAAACAAGAAGCAAAGTTACCAGCTAAGAGAGAACAAGGGAGGAAATGTTGAGTCTGAGGACAGGTAAGTTGAGCATAGGAAGAGGGGAGAGTGAGGGGAGTATGGGGATGGAGTGCTGATTGCCTGAAAGGACTAGGGGCTCACTTGAGGTTCAGGATTATGAACGTAAAGTGACAACAGTCAGTATGGTTGTTTTTCTCCGGCCTCCTGCCTAGGTGCAGGTTCGGGGAGCTGAATTCAACCATCATCTGATCTTCTCCACTCAAGAAACCTCCTTAGAGTGGTTTTTCCTGACCACAAATTCTAAGGTTGCCATATTCTCATATTCACATTCTCCTGTTCAAGGTGCTCCTCAACATCACCTTGACTTTGCTACCATTAACTGAAAATATCTTTACGTTATCTATTGTGTCTTCCCACTCCTACCACTTGACAAGCCCCCATCCCCGAGCACCCTCCAACTCACGCAGCAATTCAGGGCAAGAAACCCGTGTGTGCGGCTCACAGTCCTATCCCAGGGCCGAGTACAGTGAATAGGCCGGCCATAGCCAACCCTCAGTAAGGAAAAAACTGCCCGCGATACTCTAAAAGTGCACTATAAACTACAAGTTTTTGTTAAGTAGGAAGATTAAATTATTCTTACTAATCTTCAGTCGTACAGCTGCGGACGGTAATTAACTCCAAGGACAGAGATGTTATCATCCAGTGGACCAACCCTAACCACCCACGTTAGCTCGGAGACGGGAGCGCCCGGCCCGGGCGGCGTCTCCCACTACAGGGCCGCGGCGCGCTCCGGGGGTCAGGCTGCCCCCTCCGCCCCTCGCCTGGGACCACCGCCGCTCCACTCGAGCGCGTTCCAGCAGCGCGGCACCGGGCAACCCCGCCCTCCGCGTTTGTTGAAGCGC